CAAGGAAGGATGGAGTCTCAAGAGAAAACCATCCTTTTGATAAACCGGTTCACACTCCTCCCAAGTCTTTTGAACCAATGTAGAGATTTATCACTTATTTCCTGTTTAGGATTAGGTTTCCGGTTCTTCTAAAGTCTACTTCAACTATGCATTTCTAATATCTCTGCCTAAACTCTGAAATGTAAACTATTGTAAGGTTTCCATTTTCGTTTAAAGTACTTTGTTTTTTTATTTTTCCAGTAGACACACTTGCGTCTTAGTGGCATTATCGCCTTCTTTAAGGGTTAATTTAACAAAAAAAAAACAACAATCATGTTTACCCTGTACAAGACTCAATAACCACTCGAGGTAGCGGGTCACACAGTAAGTGGAACGGCCCCAATCAAGGAGAAAATGCTACTGAGACGCATGGAGGCACCGGAAGGAAAAGGCTTTAGTTGGAATCAGAAACACAATCATAAACAGGAAACAAAGTATGAATTTCTACTCCTGTTCAAATGAACGGGTAGGCGTGTGAGCCGGACGATAGGCGGAGCTATCGATTGCTATTGAGAAAAAGAAAATGGATTTTTAAAAAAGTAGGTCTTCCTTTTCAAGTTTAAAATCTAACATTTTTATGTAGAAATCCTTTATTTCTTACGGTACAGCCGCATTTTGATTAAAAAATTTAAAATTTAAATATGGGAGAAAAATAATTTAAATATGGAAGAGAAATAATTAAAATTAATAATAAATAATAAATTTAAATATGAAAGAAAATAATTATTAATATTTCAAGTTGTTTGGTTTGGTTTGTTTTAGTATGTTTTACGGCATATCAACCTCAATGGTTTACTTAATGCCGACAAAATTTTTATTGCTGGTATTATTTTTTCTTGAAAATTCTATTGCTGGTATTATTTTTATCAAAAATTATATAGCTGCTAATATTTTTTTCAAAAAAAATGTATAGCAGTTTTTATTGCTGGTAATATTTTTTCTTGAAAAATCTATTTCTGGTATTATTTTTATCAAAAAGTATATAGCTGGTAATATTTTTTCAAAAAAAGTGTATATCTGTTTTTATTGCTGGTAATATATATTTATTTAAATTATCGCTGGTATTAATATTTTCCTTCAAAATTTATTGCTGGTAATAATTTTTTTACAAAGTCGTTCTGGTATTAAACCCTATTTTTACTCTTCCATAGTGTTTTGATCCCAGTTTGCCCATAGTTGAGACCTAAACAGATGCTACCAATCCGGGTTAGGTTGGGGACCTGGAAACCGGCAATTAAGAGGTGGTTCCACGCTCCTCAAAACCTTCTGATCAGAGGCTTTGCTGTCGGATGTAGTTTATCGTCTTACCCGGGACACCTCATTTTGGGTGGGGGTGGGGGTCTTACCACTCTGCTGAGGTGAAGTCGGCGTATTCTGAAACCCCAGTCAACAGGGCCACAAGTTATTGTGCTTTAGCGTCGAAATGAATTTGAATAAATAAAATAAAAAATAAAAATAAAAAAACAGGATACAACTTATTGAAGGTTTCATGTACTCATTGATAATATTTGTTTCTCTACAAACTGGAACGAAATAACCAATGCTTTTCTAAATTAAAAAAGAAGCGCTATAGTATTAATGAAATGATTTAATTTCCAGTTCTTATACAAATGGAATATTTTTTTAGTTATTTCACCTCAAGCAAGGCAAGAAAGCCACTAAGAAGCAGTTGGTTACTGAGTACTAGAAAATATAATTAAAAAATGGAAAACATTATTAAGTAGAGAGAACAATTAAAGAAAAGTAATTCAGAAGACAAAAGATAACGATCAATATCGTACTTTATTACTTTCGACAACGCGACAATGGCGGATAACGTCTTCATATGCATTAGATTCTATCGAGACTGTCACCATAACAGATGCTGTGCCTACCATTAGCAACTGAATTGGTTGCTTTTATACTTTCAGGGAAAAAGGTATCACTTTTATAGTTATATAGTTTGTAGATCATAAAACATATTGCTGGTAATTTTAATATAAAATGTATTGTTGGTCATTTTGTTATAAAATGTATTGTTGGTCATTTTGTTATAAAATCTACTGCTGATTTTTGTTTTGGATGTTCACTATTTGCCCATAGCCGGGACCCTAACAGGTGCTACTACCCCGGGTCAGAATAGACCTGGTAACAATTGCATTTAAGTGGTGGTTCCAGGCTCCTGAAAACCTTTAATCTCCGAGCAGAGGTGTTTTAGAAGCTGAGGAATAATTCTTTGGGCTCAAATCCAATAGTCATCGGTATCGTTGGATGCCACATATTTAGGTTTTCATTAGTAATTCCTCTTTTGGGGAAGAAATTGTGATGAAGTATCCTAATTATTAATCACTAGAAGCATGGCCCGGCGTTGCCCGTGCTTGATTAAAAAATCGTACGACTCATACAGCAATCGCTATCACTTGACTTAAAATATCTTTGCCCTTTCTTGCCTTTAAAGGAGAGTCCTTGGCCATGCTGATGTTGCTACATGCCTTACTTCTTGCCTATCTCACACTGCGAATTTTTCTAAGCTCTATACTAAACATTAAATCTGGTACGAAAAAAGAACTAAACAAAATGAACACAAAACGATCAGCTTTAAAAAAGGACTCGTAACTGGAAAAACCGAATGAAAAAAGAATGTTAACAACAAATACTTTTTCACACGCAAACCAGTTCTGCGGAATCAGAATCAACGTTGAGTTTAAGCAAGCGAATGAGCCAATTGGAGTAAAGTGCCATGTAGATTTAAATTTTTCCCATTGTGACGAATGCAGCCATCGATTTTTTTTGCATGCTAGTTAACATTCGTGTCAGTCAACTGTTGGATCTCATGCTGGCCAATAGAATCTTCCTGTCTATTCGTGGCAGCCAGCTATAGACTCTCTCTCTGGCCAGTAGAAAATGGCCGGAAACTACATGAAAACTGCCGTAGAAGCATTAAAAAATCGATTATTTATACTATCGATGGAAGTTGGGAAATGCAAAGTCGGTCTTGGAGCATGTGCATGTAAATTTTGGTGCAAATCCGTCGAAAATTACGGCCGTGCATTCGTTACACACACACACACACACACACACACACATCCTGCCTTTTATAGATAGAGATACATAGTATTTAAGAATGCATTTGGAGTTCACTAACATACGACAATGTTCAACGCAAAAGATTAGCAATAATAATTATCCATATCCAAACCCAAAACCTGAGCTGCATATAACAAATTTAATTTTGTACCATGTGTAGGAACATCGGAGTGTTAATAATTTGTATTTCTTAAAAAGCAATGAAACCCGAAATGCACAAATATACGTCCATCAGCAGCAACGTGTCCATTGGTTGAAAAGTGCCTTACTCTCGTCAAAAGGAAAAGTCTCGTTCGCCCCCATAAAAACGCACGATCGTTTAGAGTAGGAATGTCACAAGAAAAATAAATAAATAAATAAAAACATGGTTGTTCTGTTTTTCCCCGAACTGCGATATTGAACCAACCTATCATTACCTTGTTTGATTGTTCGCAAAATAGAAAAAAAAATTGATCAGGAAAGCGTTCTGTTAAGAAAACAAATTCTCCAGGTTTTGCCGCAACCAACCTGCAGAATTTTATTAAAAACATAATAAATTGCTACTTGATACGAAGTGGTAAGGGACTGTAAATAATACTAAATATATAACTGAATAAAACGTAATTGTACTTTGTCTTTTTTTGTAGAATATCAGTCAGTTATGTGTCATGTGTGATACACGCTTAGACGATCATGTGTCTTTCGATACATGATTGACGAGGCAGATTTTTTTCCCGCAGTAGATTGCGGTAGGTTCTTTCTGCGGTAGAACATATGCCATCCAAGGCTATAGAGCCCGGTCAGTCCTGCTATTTACCTATGAATACTCATCTTCTCCTACCATAGCAGGGAGAAGAATAAGAAGATTCATATCTTTCCCAAGGGTATTAGCACGTAAGTGGATGTGATGGATCCGAGTGGAATTCGAACTCGGCTCTCCCATTACCTAATTCTCGCCGCTATCCATCACTCCACCCTGTCCCTGTCGTTTGGTAGAATAAAGTTGCCAAACAGAAACGAAAATTATTTATAACTAACCTTAATCATAACAGCCTCGATAATACTCAAAGCAACGTGAATAAGGAAGATATTTATTGTGGTTAGATTTGTTTGATTCTGGCCTTGAACATCGGGCTTAGAACAAAGACAAGCATGGTATACTTCATGAAGGATTATTAGGAGGTTGAAAAAAAAACATGATTGTAGCAAGTGCTGTCAGGAGTGACCGATTCGCCCAACCGCGTCTGATTTCAAATTTTCTGATACCACTCTGACACAAATACCTACAGTATCTGTGCAGAGCAACTCGCTCGAAGTTCGTATAAGGCACATAGACTGTTGAGTAGTTAATTTTTATCTTGTCTTTATACCTAACTGGATATACATGACATTCTGCCGTCACTCATGCTTGCAACATAACGATATAAAAGTAGTAAAACAAAAAAATCAATAAGGAAATGTCAGTGACCAGAGATTAAGAAAATCGATAGTGAATATGGTCATTTCTACATACAAAATAAAAATGTTTATAATCAGTTAATATTTCTTAAGTAAGCTTAAATTTATGTGGTCGAAGTAATAAGTAGAGATCAATAGAACAACTGTCATGACAATGGAATTTTTATCAATTTTCAATAATTTTCATACCTTCGGACATTTGCATTCCTATAGCAGACGACATCGTTTTAAATTTGATATAAACTAGATTTTTTTCTTCCTCGCAAAAGCGGAAGGCAACATATATGTGTTAGAGTCTTAATTTCAAATCAGTTTGTACTTTTTTTATATTTCGTTCTTCTTTTTTTAAATGTAACCCCATCCTTGTCAAAGCAGACGACATAAACATAAAAAAATGGCGCGAAACAAACTTACCTGATTGTGACGATTTGTCCAAAATCCATGCTGGCGCTGTTCACCTGAGCAATGAAAAGGGCAGCAACTGCTTCATAAAGAGCGGTACCATCCATATTGATGGTTGCCCCGACAGGTATAACAAAACTGCTGACACGAGGATCAACGCCACATTTGTGTTCGAGACAGTGCAGTGTGACGGGCAAAGTAGCCGAGCTGAAAAATAAATAGTTAATAGGATTATGGAAAATTCTGCAGAAATGTTTATAAATTTCTTCTTTTGCTTAAACAAAATTAGAAACAAAATTTATTTATATAAATATACTAATTTAGCCATTCATCGACATTGGCAGTATACTTTATGTTATAGTCCGGTTCCTTGTACCACTGTGATAGTCCAAGGTAGAACCAATAAAGAAGAACTCGAACACGTATATGGAATAACACAGATATATTACAAACAGGAATATATACAGAGAAGTAGAAGTGTTAGTACGAACAATCAGGTTTAGTAGAGAGAACAATGTAGTCTCGACCAGTATCACTATTCCCATGTCTTGTAGTAATTGTCTGAACGCAACTCTGTTTCGGATTGCCTCTGACTCGACTCTTGACTCGACTTGAACTATTGACTCAACTTGAACTACTGACTCACGATATTCAGTCACCCCCCCTCACGAGGGTGTCATGTGGCACGAGGCCTTTTTAACGTGGGCATTCCCGAGCCATTAGGCTCGGCCAAAAAATAGCCCATTTGAACCCGTATAAACGGGTTCAGGGCCGGTTTTACCTCCCCGAAGGAGACTCCGCCCATCGGCATAGCCTCCTTCAGGTTCCTCTCCGTCCGGAGACAGAGAGTAGAACCGATCAGTCGCTCAGAAAGTGAACGACTGACTCACGATATTGAGTCTCTCCCCCACCACTGGGGCAACATGTGACGCAAGGTCGGTTGTTTATTGTGGGTATTCCCGAGCCCGTGGGCTCGGCCCAAAAATATGCCCGTTTGAACCCGTATAAACGGGTTCAGTGCCGGTTTTACCTCCCCCGAAGGAGACTCCGCCCTTCGGCGTAGCCTCCTTCGGGTTCCTCTCCGTCCGTAGACAGAGAGTTGAACCGATCAGACTGTTCAAAAGTGAACGGCTGACTCAAACCTTGCCTACTCCTGAGGCACAGTATTTATTGAGTATGGAATAGTCCATTATTATTATTTTGGGTAAGATCCCATAACACTTTACTATGATGAAAAAGTTTTCACATATAATGGTTTAAATATATTTTATAATCAGTTTATTACATTATGATGAGACGGAATTAATTTTCAATTCTGAAGACTTCAGGGGAACAGGGATGACACCAGGATCGCTGAAAAAAGACCCGATAGCAGCATTTATGGTATATGGTAGGGAGATTTATACACGCGCATGATGATAGGCCTTCAAACACCAGGGACCTTCGTGAATATGACAATAAAGATAAGGATAATAGTCTGAACAATGTAAACAAATATCAGGAAGAATGGAAAAACTTCTCTGTAACAGTTTTGTGATAACTAGTGTTATCAATACCTGATCGAAATGGTAGATTTCGCTGGGCAAAATATGGGGTAGTACACAAAAATTTGGTTGATGGATGAATTGATTTTTACATTTTGCGGGTTATTTAAAGCTGGAAGATATATTGGATTGTATGGATTTTACATGTTTTACGAGAGAATATTACATTTACAATTTTATAGTATAACAATTTTTCTAGATACGAGAGCTACTATTTAAGATAAATGGCAGGAGACAAGCAGTCATACTTTCCCAAGTGTGTGGACTCTCCCGCCGATTTCAATTTCAACGTATTGGTTTTTATGTTTGTGTCGTATCTGAGACTTCAGTCCTGCTAGTGATCTGCATACAAGCCCGTCTATTGTGCCACAGCGAGGATCTCGGGACATAGCCACAGGGATATTTGCTGACGTTTTTCACTGTTCTCTTTTGCTTCTTAGCTTCTTTCGCGTCTAATATGAAGAGGAACTGCGACGTGCTGTCAGGTGTGACCGATTCGCCCAGCCGCGTCTGATTTCAAATTTTCTGATACCACTCTGACACAAATATCTACAGTATCTGTGCAGAGCAACTCGCTCGAAGTTAATATGAGGCACATTGACTGTTGAGTAGTTAATTTTTATCTTGTCTTTATACCTAACTGGATATACATGACATTCTGCCGTCACTCATGCTTACAACATGACGATATGAAATCAATAAGGCAGTGACCAGAGATTAAGAAAAATGATAGTGAATATGGTCATTTCTACATATAAAATAAAAATGTTTATAATCAGTTAATATTTCTTGTTAATTGTCAAACAATTCATACATATTGAACTGCCTTTAGTCGAGTCAAAATTAGCGAAAATTTTGCAGAATCAAGTCTCACGCTTGGACTAATATGCCACACGTTACGTGTTGTGAACATTTGACGCAATATGTCTGGAAACATGAAACGCTGACGAAGAAAAGCTGCTATAAATTAACGCGTCTTAGCGCCTGACAAGTCTACAGACAGTAGGAGTGTCAGATGGCACCTTATTGGCGTTAGTCTCCATGAGTAATGAAATAAGTCCCCGTCTTTAAAGTTTGATCAAACAGATTAATTAATCCAGAAAGCAGATAGAGTCTGACATCTGAACCAAGTGAGTAAATATAAAGAAAATCTGCTGGTGTTGAGATTGGCTGGAAAGCGGCAAATAGCACTAATGGAGCCGGTAGGAAAATGTCTGCGAAACGGTCATCTGGTAAGAACTGAAGAAAATAAAAATATCAAACGAAGAACACACAATCCCAAACCAAAAGGTCTAATTTTTTTTATCAATTCACCCCAACCAAGGTGATAATGCTACTAAAACACAAGGAGTTACTGGTAGTCATACAGAATGAAAAATAATTTTAGAAGGAGATGGAAATCCAATTCTAAACAGAAAACAAGAATAAATCTCTCTTCCTGTTCAAAAGATCGTGGAGGAATGTGAACCGGACGACAGACATTGTACAAAGACGTATTTTTATACTTTTTTATACTTATATGCGATTTTTAAACATAAATTAAACATCGAGTTGAAGTAGATTTCAGAGGGAACTGGAAATCTACTCGGAAACAGGGAACAAGGGATAAACCTCTATTCAAAAGACTGGGGAGTAGTGTGAACAGGACGATATGCGAACCTATCTGCTCCTAAAATAAGAAGCAGAGTGTCACTTCTTTCATTCGATCATTAGAGAATAAAACGAAAATATCTGTCTATATTTCTGTGATAAGGTAATATCTACACTATTTGCATTATTCGCACTCTTGTCCTCATCTTTGTCGCCTTCAGTATCTGTCTATATTTCTGAGATGAGGTATTATGTACACTATTTTCATTATTCGAACTATTGTCCTCATCTTTGTCGCCATATTTATTACAAGGTTTCTTCTGGCGGTCGGAATGTCGTACTGAACCCTTAATTTCGCTCACTGGGGTAGACTGTTCTAGTTCCACGTATAATGGATGTCAGTTATCAATTATCTCCTGTTAATTTCCCCCTGAAAGTTCTCCACTGCCTTAAGCGGATATTGAACTCACTCTTTGGGTTCTGTCACTAACCAACGCCTTTATCCACTGTGCCATGTGTCCTTGAGGAAATAATATTTGCTAATGGTAAGTTTAACTGTTTCCATGCGAGAAATATTCAACATCCGCTGACCGAAAATTTACTGTTGCTTAAAATTTATAAGAACTTTCTCTTGAAACAATCTTTCAGGAAAACAGGTTTCTGAAGTCCACTAAATGTTATAGATCTTTATAGTAATGAAGGGATTTCAAAATTTCTTTTACGTTAGGTAGTGTAATGTCACAATAATTTGGTTTGGTATGTTTTACGGCATATCAGCCTCAACGGTTTCTTTTTAATTTATTTTTATTGCTGGTAATATTTTTTGCAAAAAGTGTAGTGCTGCTGGTAATAATTTTTTACAAAAATGTATTGCTGGTGTTAAAAACTATTTTTACACTTTCATAGCGTTTTGACCCCAGTTTGGTGGTCAATTATTTGTCCATAGTTGGGACCATAACAGGTGCTCCACCCTGGTCAGTACCTGGGAACACCAACAATTAAGAGATGGTTCAACGCTCCTCAAAACCTCCAAATCAGAGGCCTTGCTGTAGAGTGTAGTTTATCGTGTTACCCAGGACATGCATATAGTTTATCGTGTTACCCAGGACATGGATATAGTTTATCGTGTTACCCAGGACATGGATATAGTTTATCGTGTTACCCAAGACATGGATGTAGTTTATCGTGTTCCCCAGGACATGGATATAGTTTATCGTGTTACCCAAGACATGGATATAGTTTATCGTGTTCCCCAAGACATGGATATAGTTTATCGTGTTACCCAGGACATGGATATAGTTTATCGTGTTACCCAGGACATGGATATAGTTTATCGTGTTACCCAAGATATGGATATAGTTTATCGTGTTACCCAAGACATGGATATAGTTTATCGTGTTACCCAGGACATGGATATAGTTTATCGTGTTACCCAGGACATGGATATAGTTTATCGTGTTACCCAAGACATGGATATAGTTTATCGTGTTACCCAGGACATGGATATAGTTTATCGTGTTACCCAGGACACGGATGTAGTTTATCGTCTTCCCACGTCACGGATGTAGTTTATCGTCTTCCCCGGACACGGATGTATTTATCGTCTTACCCAGGACGCAATAATTTAGGCAAGAAATTTTTTTTTTAAAGTGTCACTAAAGCTAATACTAAATGAAATTAATTGTAATTAATTGTAATCTGACAAATGATAATAATATTATTTAAGCAATGCCGTTACAAATAATGGCAGACCAATAAGCAATGTTAATGCTGAGATTATCCGTTTCCATGCAGGAAACGTTTGCTATTCGTTGAATTAACACCAAACGTCGCTGTCGATTAAAATTGTAATTAATTGTTTCGTAAAACTTTTTCAAAGAATCGCATGTCTCAAATCCACTACGTTGAACCGATATTCCTGATATTGATTTTGGTTTCCTTATAAGCATTTTTTCGTCTTCTCGAGGCGGTGTAATGGTTAACAAGTATGTCTCGCTAGAATATTTACGACTGAGTTGTGAGTTCGATCCTCACTAGGTGCCTCATACTTTCGGTCTTGTGCCTCATCTAAGTTACGCTTGGAAAATCTCTATAAACATTTTCTTTTAAGTTAGCGTGTATATGGTGATGTTTTAAGCGTAGCTTAGATGTGGCACAAGGCCGAAAATATGGGGCACCCAGTGAGGATAGAACTCACTAGTTAATCGTGATTGTCCTAGCTAGACAAGCGCGCTAGCCATTACACCACCTCGAAGAGCCCAAGTTAGGGTGTATATGTATATACACTCTACCCCCAATGCAGTCTTCCTATATTAATATAGTAAACATTAAGCAATATAATGATATATATTGGATTGGCCTATATTATATTATATAATTTTATATTAATATTTTATTTGCAGTTTCATTTTATTTTATTTTTTTTTCAAAAAGAGTCATTTGTAAATGATAAAGCTAAAAAACAACGCTTGATTTAAATGGTAGAAGCAGACGAGAACGTAATTTGCTATCATGGAGACACGCTATAAGCAAAGAAGATGACAGATTAAACCAAGAATGGTGGTTTATGCATGAAGTTTCTATTTCTGCATCTATAAATGCTAATACTCATGGTTAAATTAGTCATTTTCATCCAGAAAGCATCCGCCATTCTTTGCCGAAAAGTCAGCATTACTGTCGGATGAAAACTTTTTTTCTATAAAACAGTTTTCAGGAAAAAATAAATTTCTCAAGTCTACTAACTGTTATAGCTCTTTCTCCTAATGATGGAGTTTCATTCCTTTGTTTTTAGTAGTGAAAGCTAGTATCTTGATTATATTATATTTTTTTATTCCAATTATATATGGTAGTCATTTTCTATTCAAACGGATTTAACAGCCAAGACCAGAAGACAAGATTCATTTATTGTAAATAAATAAAAAAAAGCCAAATAATGCATATCGATGAATCTATACAGGTCATAGTCGCTGCAAAGGTGTATCGGCGTGATGAGTCCAAATTCTGACCGAATCTGTTTCGTCCATTTCACACTATTGCCACTGGAAAAGGCAAGAATCAATCTTGCTTTAGCTATTGTTCATCTTTTTTTTCTCTTACAAGGTTTTCAACCTCAGCTAGAGATTTCACCCAGCCTTTTCATCCCAATAGGTAGAATGGCAGCGAAGGGATGGATTTATACCTTTTCCACGGTATTTGTTCAAAATGGAATGTAACAAACTTGATAAACTTGATTTCTAGTTCCGAGATCCTAACTCTAACCATAACCCTAACTATAACCTTAACTATAACCTTAACTATAACCCTAACTATAACCCTAACTATAACCTTAACTATAACCCTAACCTGCACACGTCCTTCACTATTGGTTTAATTTAATATTCAGAAATGTTGGTCATCGTCAGGAAAATGCAAATTTTGATATATAAGTACAAAGGAAATGAAAAATTAAGTCACTCATTAGTATTTTGTCAATGTGGATAAACTAGTATTTAATTTAAACGAGTATTTAATTTAAAACTAGTATTTAATTTAAAAGCCTGAGTGAAAAACGGATGAAGATAAAAAATGGCGATAGACTGAAGCAATATAAAATTAAAAAGAATAAAAATAATTTAATTTTGTGTCGCTTACAATTAATGTTTTAGTGATTGATGGTTGTCTTTGCTTAGTGGCATATCAACATCTCTATGGGTTATTTAATGCCGAAATCTAAATATTTTGAACGAAATTGTATACCTTCAACTAAATATATTTTGAAGACAATTGTATGCCTTCAACTATAGATAAAATGTATTGTTGGTCATTTTGCTATAAATAGGTATTATTGGTTGGTTGATTTTGTTTAGCGTCATACCAACACTTCTATGGGTTATTTATTGACGGAACCGAAATACTTTGAACATTATTTAATGGCTTCAACTAAATATGTTTTGAACGCAATTTCATGCCTTCAACTACGAATAATTACAGATAAATACAGATACTGTTGGCCATTTTTCTTTAAAATTGTATTGTTGGTTTGTTTAACGTTACATCGACTCCTTCATGGGTCATTTAATGAAAAAAAATTCTTTTGTTTCGAGTATTAGTAATTTCCTTTACAAAAATGTATTGCTGGTATTTTTACTATAAAATATATATTAATGATTTCATTGCGTGTTGACTCCAGTTTAGGGGTCAACTATTTGTTCATAGCTAGGACCTTAACAGGTGCTACCACCCCAGGTCAGGGTAGACGTGAGAACAACAGCAATTGAGAGTTGGTTCCACGCTCCTGAAAAAAAACCCCGATTAGAGTCCTTGCTGCCTGATGTAGTTTAACGTAATACGAATTGATTTACTGGTGTTACTTCACATTAAGCAAAAACAAGATGGCGATATTTACCTAGAGGATGTTCCAAAGGCTGTAGCCATAGCTTGAAAGATACCGGCGATAAATCTGTAAGGGTTTTTTCTGACGCAAAGGAAATAAATGGCTGGAAGGACGGCAGAACCGTGGACAGCCAGACCGCAAAGTACAGTGAGGAAGTAGAGACCAACTTTACCGAGAAGGACTCCAAAATCTTCCATTTCTACGATTTTAGCGGCAATCAAGAAGGTGATACCGAGCGGCGAATACCTGTGGGAAAAAAATAAAACTTTCTGTAAAATGAGAAATATTTGATAAGCATAAAACATATAAGCATTAATACAAGAACAACGACAATAATAACAACAACAACAACAAGAATAATAATAATAATAATAATAATAATAACGATAAAGAAAATGATTGACGTAACTCTTCCAGTATTTTTAAGCAGTTAAGAGAAGAACGCGATTTAAGAAAAGAAAAAAGTCCGACAATTATTTTAAGACATTTTTTCATGTTTATACGTTTTTTTTAGATACAAATATTTAAGTAAATGCTCTGTTTATAATAAACAGTATTGACAACATTTACCGGCCAATCCATCTAGCAGAAAGACAACACTGAATTCAATTCTTAGCCACCTGAGGTTGTACGGAAATACTTAGATATGGGGTGCGGAAAAACCTCGGAAGATTTCAAAAGCTATGGCTAATTACTTCTTTATCCAGACACCTAGTCCAAGGATAGTTATTATTACATATATGAAATGGATTAAATCCTACAAAACAGAAGATATATCAAAATAGTCGTCGGATTTAAAGAATTTCATGTAATTAATAAGTTGTCATTGTGTACCTTAGGCCAAAATTTCAAACCCACTGAGAAATAAAAACCATGAACATTTAAGATGAGTCTTTTACCTGTGATGTCGAATTGATAGCAGTTTATATATTACTGAAGTGGGTGGAAAAACGAACTGCTGCGTTAATTTTATTGGTTAGAAAATATTCTTTTGAATTTTACTGATTTATTCTTGAAAGCGTACGCGCAAAGCCGGCTTAAAATTAAACCAATTTTCATTTGGACACACACACACACACACACACACACACACACACACACACACACACATATATATATATATATATATATATATATATATATATATATGGATATATATATATATATATATATATATATATATATATATGCAATTTTTTATATATATTATTTATATATTATATATGGGCTAAGCAATTGTTCCTCTGTGGCCCAATCGGTTAAGGCACGTCAGGCTATAAGACGGTTCCGTATAGGATACAGGTTTGATTCCTGTCGGAGGACGCATATTTTCTATGAAAATTTCTCGGACATTCAGGCCGGTACATGTTGTTAATACTGTTTATTATAAACAGACCATTTACTTAAATATCTGTATCTATAAAAAGAACGTATAAACATAAAAAAAACACACACACACACACACATATATATATATATATATATATATATATATATATATATATATATATAATAAACAACAGACCTTTTGTGTCGATTAATTTTACAAAGTCCGACAATTATTTTAAGACATTTTTATATAATATAATATATAATAAATATATATATCCATACAAAATTATCAAAATTTAATTTTAATAATTTTTTATAGATTTATATATTTTTATAATTGATAAAATTGTTTAAATATAACTTGAAGAAGATTAACATTCCGCGAAATAGTGTTTAATATTGTCAAACATTGTTTTCTTTTTACTTTATCTTTTCTTAAATTCTTCACTTAAATGTTGAAAAATATTAGAAGAGTTAAGTCAGTCATTTTATTTATTATTATTATTATTGAGATAGAGCATCTTGAATATCCTAAAGGCCTATATATCTTCTCATGACAACCGTTCTAATAAGACTAGACCATGAACATTCACCGTAGAGAAATGGGTGTAGAACATTGACAGGTTTTATTAAGATCATTGTATAACCTTGCAATTTCGGCCTCTTTACATATGCCTTCATGTAAAGTTATACAGTCTGCTAAGGCACGCTCTGATTGAAGGGGTTTATAAGTAACGTGGTGTAACTCCTAAGTCGCCTTGTCTGCCCTATCCTTTAAACTTGAAAAAGAAAAAAAATCCGATAGACATCTGGCTATGATGGTTCTTCACTGTTTCTACACATGAACAATGATATGCAGTAGGTTTGCCACTCGAGGACATTCCTAACTGGTTATATATATATATATATATATATATATATATATATATATATATATATATATATATATATATATATATGTATATGTATGTATGTATGTATGTATGTATAGAGATAGATAGATAGTGTGAGAGAGTGTTAGGGAGAGTGAGGTACCGTCGGAAGAATACAACATTTAGTGAAACATAAGAATAACTTTTGTACTCATCATTATTGGCGAGCTTGGACCAGTTACAATGACTCTAACAAAAACGTTGTAGGAGCTGAAAATCCTTGGAAGAATCGAATCTGTCACATGACTTTATGTGATACGTCCTCTCAGTACATCGGTGATTATGCCTCTCCACAACTTCCTATTCTTCGTAACTCTTAAGCAATGTTTGTCTTTTGACTATCCTTCTCACTTCTTGTTCTGCCATCCATTTACGCAAGGTCGTTAGGTAGTTTACTTTCCCCAGCCTCTCTTTTATTCACGTAAGTGTCAAATTTTCCAAGCCTACTTTTCTCATTATGAGTCACAGAAATTTTAATTCTCTCTTTTTGATTCTGAGTATAAATCTCTTCTTTGTTTTGCTTAAAGCTTGTTCGTTGATCGCATGTGCCGTTCATGTCTTTCTAAGCTTCCTATTTCAGAACACAAATTTTCTTCATCTGTAAGTTCATCACTGTCATATAGAAGGATTGAAATTATATAACCATTAACCACTCTTAGTTTCACGCGAAATTATCTTATTTTTGAATAAGTTGTTAGTTTTTCGAAGGCTCAATTTGCTATTCGAATACATCCGTGGATTTCAGTATCATATTTTCCGACATCTTTTTTGCTCACCATTCACTGCTTTATAGAAGGATTGATATTACGTAGCTGTTCAGCGCGGCTTTTTGTTTTTAAGCAAATTTTCCTGTATCTTAATACTCTGCTTATCTTTTGGAAGGCATCTTTTGCTATTACTATGACCGTTCGGATTGAGGTGTCGCATAGGATTCTAGCATATGCTACCACCCCGGGTCATGGTGGCCCAGGGAAGAACAGTAATTAAGAAGTGGTTGCACGCCCCTCAGAACCCACAATCAAGAGCCTTGTTTTCGGATGTAATTTATCGTCATACCCAGGCCGGTGTTGCTGTTGAAATTACTCAGGTGATGTGGTTTCTGTTATTTGGTACAGTTCTTCGTCTGTAGAGGCACCGTGGTGTAATGGATAATGGCTCGGATTGAGGAATTGGAGAGCCGGGTTCGAATTCCAGTCAAATATCTGCTAACAAACGAGTAAATATAACACATTTAGTCTTTCCATTGATTAGAATAAGCATAGCTTGATAATTGGGAACTTCAACATCTATTCGTTAGCTACGTAGTGTTTACTACGCCAATGCGTCGTTTTTTTTTAATTCGGAGCTTTTTGCCGTGCCTGATCGATAACTACAGCAAGAGAAATTGAATCTGCGCTACTATTTAACCCATAGATCATTCCTTAGAATAGTTGTGCCAATCTAACGATTCAACCGGAAATCGAACTCGTCCCGCCGATGTCTCATCCTGTGCCGCTACACATAACACCCCTTGCACATTTATACATATAGCGTCGCTGTCAGTTGAAATTATAATTTCTTTTTTGTAAAACTTTTTCCAAGAAATTGCACTTCTCAAATCCATTAACTTGGATCGATATTTCTGATTTCGATCTTGGTTCTTTTATAAATATTTTCTTTTAAGCTAATGTTTACATAGTGATTTTCTAAGAGTAAGCTTAAATGTTACACAAGGCCGAAAGTATGGAGCACCTAGTGAGTACAGAATCTCACTACTATCATAATTGCTAAATATTCCTGTCTCCATGCAGGAAATATTCAGCATTCGCTGACGTAAAACTTTCTTTTGAAACAATCTTTGAGACATTCACAGTTAGGACCCTTCGTGTCATGTTCAAAGAGGTAAGTAATCCCTATTCCACTATTTACATTATTCGGACTATTGTTCTCATCTTTATTAATGAATGTCAGTTATCAGTTATCTCTTGATAATTTCCTTCTGAAAGTTCTCCACTGCCTTAAACGGATATTGAACTCACTCTTTGGGTTCTGTCACTGGATCTAACCAAAGCCTTTATCCACTGTGCCATGTGTCCTTGAGGAAATAATATTTGCTAATAGTAAGTTTAACTGTTTCCATGCGAGAAATATTCAACATCCGCTGACCGAAAATTTACTGTTGCTTAAAATTTATAAGAACTTTCTCTTGAAACAATCTTTCAGGAAAACAGGTTTCTGAAGTCCACTAAATGTTATAGCTCTTTATAGTAATGAAGGGATTTCAAAATTTCTTTTACGTTAGGTAGTGTGGAATGTCATATAATTTGGTTTAGTTTGTTTTATGGCATATCCGCTTCAATGTGTGTTTGTTTTTTTTTTTAATACCGACAAGATTTTTATTGCTGGTAATATTTTTTTTTACAAAAACGTATTGCTAGTATTAAAACCTATTTTTACACTTTCATAGTGCTTTGACCCCAGTTTAGGTGTTAACTATTTGCTCATAGCTGTGACCTTAACAGGTGCTACGACCCCGAGGCAGGGGGGTGGGGACCTGGAAACACCAGCAATTAAGAGGTGGTTCCACGCGCCTCAAAACCTCCTGATCAGAGGCCTTGCTGTCGGATGTGGTTTATCGTCTTACCCAGGACGCAATAATTTGGACAAGAAAGTTTTTTTTTTAAAGTGACACTAAAGTTAATATTAAATGAAATTAATTGTTATAATCTGACAAAGGATAATTAATATTATTTAACTAATGCCGATACAAATAATGGCAGACCAATAAGCAATGTTAATGCTGAGATTATCCGTTTCCATGCAGGAAACGTTTGCTATTCGTTGAATTAACACCAAACGTCGCTGTCGATTAAAATTGTAATTAATTGTTTCGTAAAACTTTTTCAAAGAATCGCATGTCTCAAATCCACTACGTTGAACCGATATTCCTGATATTGATTTTGGTTTCCTTATAAGCATTTTTTCGTCTTCTCGAGGCGGTGTAATGGTTAACAAGTATGTCTCGGTAGAATATTTACGACTGAGTTGGATCCTCACTTACGTGCCCCATATTTTTGGTCTTGTGCCTCATCTAAGCTACGCTTGGAAAATCTCTATAAACATTTTCTTTTGAGTGTGTATATGGTGATGTTTTAAGCGTAGCTTAGATGTGGCACAAGGCCGAAAGTATGGGGCACCCAGTGAGAATCGATCTCATTACTCAGTCATAATTGTTCTAGGTGTGGAGTGTTGTTTATCGTCTTCCTCAGGACGCGTATGTAGTTTATCGTGTTACCCAGGACACGGATGTAGTTTATCGTGTTACCCAGGATACGGATATAGTTTATTGTCTTACCTAGGACAGGGATATAGTTTATCGTGTTACCCAGGACACGGATTTAGTTTATCGTCTTACCCAGGACACGGATGCAGTTTATCGTCGTCCCAGGACACGGAAGTAGTTTATCGTCTTACTCAGGACGCAATAATTTGGATAAGAATTTTTTTTTAAGTGACACTAAATCTAATACTAAATGAAATTAACCGTTATAATCCGATAATTGATAATAATATTATTTAACCAATGCAGATAAAAATAATGACCAATAGGCAATTTTAATGCTGAGATTATCCGTTTCCAGAACTACGGCAAGAGAAATTAGTCTGTGCTATTTTTTAACCCATAGATCGAAGAGATTGGATGAATTCACATTGTTCCAATGAGTAGTTGTGTCCAGTGTAACGATTCAACCGGAATTCGAACCCGTTTCACCGATGTCTTATTCTGTGTGGCTATCCTTAACACCTTGCACATTTATACATTTATCGTAAAAAGAAATGTTTGACTAAAAACAAAATTCCTTAGAAAATATAGAAATCCCTGAACGAAAGTAAAGAAAGTAATTTAATTAAACGAATTTCAAATAAAAATACAGAAATCCCTCGATTCGGAATTCTATTGGCATCACTTTACTGACAAGAATATATAAATGACAATAAATACCACACTAACGATTTTAATGAAAATAATCTTTCTAAATACCCTGAAAAAAAATAAAAAGTGTAGAAGCAAAAATAAATAATTAAAATATAGTCTATTATTGTACTTAAAGTCTAGGTACCACTATGAAGAGCTCATCTGAACAATCACCATGAAAATATTTATAGAAAAGACACTTTACGGTGGTGATAAATAGAGTGAAACCGAAATGCCAGGCCGAGACTTATAATATTGCTGATTCTTCTTTGGATTTTATCAAAGAACTCTAGGTATATAGCAACAACACCGGACCATGTGTCAGTAATATTCTAAGCAATAGATGAGAAACAAAAATCGAGACTGTCGGTAAGTGGTTATTGCTGGCAATATCCTTAGAAAATTTTAAAATGCCTGAATGAAAGTAAGAAAGTATCCCTCGATTAGTGCTGCTAATCGGTAACTATAAAAAAAATCAGTTACTATCGTTAAACTGAAGAATGTTTTACCGAACTAATCGAGTATTATGTATGCACCAATCGAATTTTGGTACATAAAAATTTTAGCGCCCTCATCGAAAACGCATTAATCGAATGCGCATTAATCGAGGGATACCTGCATATTGTTGTAATATTCTAATAGTTCTAAGGGTCGGTATATTTGGGAATAAATTCTGCTATTCTAAATATTGCGAAGAAATATTTGGAGATGAAGATTATTTAGAAAAATAAAGACTGAGACCTGAAGAAAGAAAAAAAATAAGAAGGAAAGAGAGATTAAAAAACAATGGGACAGAGAAGGAGAGACCGAAGCAAAAACAAATAAAACGGAGACAAAGAGAGTAAAAAATAGCGAGAGAGAGAGAGAGGGAGATAGATAGAGAGAGAGGGGGAGATAGATAGAGAGAGAGAGAGAGAGGGAGAGAGAGAGAGAGAGAGAGAGGTGGGGGAGATAGAGAGAGAGAGAAAGAGGTGGGGAGATAGAGAGAGAGACAGAGAGGAGGAGATAGATAAATAGATAGATAGATAGATAGATAGAGAGAGAGAGAGAGAGAGAGAGAGAGTGAATCATTTTTCAATTAGTAGGATTAAACTGAAACCGACTATCATATATGCACAAAAGGAGGGCACCTCGAAGTGGTGTAATGGTTAGCAAGCTTGTCTCGCTAGAACAATTATGTCTGGGTAGTGAGTTCGATCCTCACTGGGTGCCACATACTTTCGGCCCTGTACGCTTCGGAAATAACTGGGCACCTCGGCGTGGTGTAATGGTTAACAAGCTTGTCTCTCTAGATCAGTTACAACTGAAAAGTGAGTTCGATCCTCGCTAGAGTCCCCATACTTTTGGCCTTGTGCCACATCTAAGCTACTCTTGGAAAATAGCTATATGCACTAAACGAATTTTTAAAATTTTAGCGCACTAATCGAAAACGCCTTAATGAAATGCGCATTAATCGAGATATGCTTTTAAATGAATAAACAGTTGAAAATCTGCGCATCTTGTCCCATGCATCTCATGGATACAAGATATTTATTTATTAGCTCTGAACACTGGATGATATTTGTTTCTAGTTTCACAAGCAGACACCCCAGGGAAAGGGTCATCATTGGATTAAAAACACACATGCAAAAATAACCCCACCGACTGATTAATTTAGGCGTATTCCGGCTAGGAGGTTCTGATGAGCGGATGTAACACATTTAAAAGAAAGAAAATGATTGATCAGCAAAACGATATTTCCATAACCTTTATACATTTTCCCAGAACAAAGACTCGAACCACCCCAGTAAATATTCAGAATTAAGTCAGAAGAAGAAGAAAAAAAAAAGGAAATCTGCCTGGTTAGTGATGAAAGAATAGAGAGGGCGTAGATGCCTGAACCACTTTGCGGTCTCTTTGAAGTGATAATCACAACAAAATGATGAAATTTAATCCTGTCCTATTACACAGGTAATTCGGTAAATTACTTAATACACAGCCGAACAAAAAGTAATTAGAGTCAGAAATGGCTACGAAAAATATTAGGTTGATTTTTTTTTATGGCTTTATGATCGTGAATGCGGGACAGTTTCCTCTGAAATTAAAAGATGTGGGGCAACAAAAGGAAGCTGAGAATACAATCGACTGATCATGTTTTATATGTTTTACTCGGAACCAAAATATGATAGTGGAAAACTGTGGGATGCGTAATGAGGAAAGAGGGTTTGGAGAATTTAACATTCAAAGGCTATACAAACTATCTAATGAGATTGTGCAAACAGATAGCAGAACAGGTCTTAGGACGGATACAAGAGAGATTTACAGAAAAGTGGTGGAACGCCATGGCCACCTACTACTTGAAGCAACACGCTGCATAAGAATTAATGTATTTGGGCACTTTGTCGTATTGCAATGGTTAACAAGCTTGTCTTGCTAGAAGAATTACGACTGAGTAACGAATTCGATCCTCACAGAATACTCCAGACATTAGGCCTTGTACCGCGTTTAAGCTTCTCTCAGAATATCAGCATACGAGGCAGCTCAACAGCTAATGTTTAGCCAGCTTGTCTCGCTAGAACAATTACTATTGAGTCGGGAGTTTGATCCGTACTGGGCGCCCCATAAATTTGGCCTTGTGCCGCATGTAAGCCAAGCTTAGAAAATCATCATAAAACTCGATGTCTTCAGTTACAATGACCGTTTTCAATACTTGGATCCAGGAGAAACGTCATTTGTGATGTGCCGAACATTTTAAGGAAACATTACATCAAAGATGGCAATATTTTTTTAAGTAAATTTTGAAGTTAACTTCTTCCAGAGCTAAAATGTTAATATTAACAGGAGTGAGGGAAACACTATGCCTGTTTCTATAACTGTATATATTAGAAATGTATCACACACAGACACGTGGGCGAATGCAGGCCCGTCCACACACACACACACACACACACACACACACACACACACACACACACACACACACACAGATAGATAGATAGATAGATAGATAGATAGATAGATAGATAGATAGATATGAATAGCCTGAGATAGATAGATATGAACAGAATTAGATAGATAGATAGATAGATAGATAGATAGATAGATAGATAGATAAGGGCTTAAAGAGATAGATTTTGTCTGACAATAATAAATCTTTGTAGGACTTTTATTTCTCTGAAGGTTGCCTCAATGTAAAAGCTGAATAAATCTGGTGAGAAGACCCATCCTTGTCTTATGCCCCTTTCTATTTTTGTGTATATACTAAATTCATTTTTTTTCGTATGCAGACGGTTTGCTCCCAGTGTAAGTGAATTATTATTTTATCATTCTCAAATAATTCAAGTTTCACACACCAAAAAGTCCTTTTTTTCATTTTTCATATTAATGTAGTTATATTTTATGGAAATTTATGTTGGGGAGGATGGCTGGGACAAAAGACGTACTTTTCTGTTGTGTTCTGTTACAGATGTCAGTACTTTATTGAGGGCGATCACTTTTTAAGGCGGTCAAAGAAACAAACAGTTCCGCTAAATTCATGGCTTTTCACCTTTTGCCTTTCTTTCTTATATTTTCTTTAATATTTGCATTAATTGATTGTAGGAATTGTCTGTGTGATTACGGCTTCACAGACAACACATTTCAAAATGCACTTTTCTTTGCGAACATTGGAAAGATATAAAAATGAATATTTGATTTTATTGATTATTTTATTCTCGATTTTCAAAATATTAGCTTTTCTTACGGCATTATTCATTACTCTTCATTCTTCCTTCTTTTCTTTTTTCTTTTCTTTCTTCATTTGTTTCTTTTCTTGTTTTCTTTTCTTTATTTTCTTTCATTGCTTTCATTGTTTCTTTTCTTTCTTTTTCTTTTCTTTCTTTTTTCTTTTCTTTCTTTCTTTATTTTTTCTTTTCTTTCTTCCTTCCATTTCTTTCTTTCTGTCTTTTGCTTTCTTTATTTTCTTTCTTTCTTTCTTTCTTTCCTTATTTTCTATCGTTGTTTCCTTTCTTTCTTCCTTTTCTTTCTATTTTCTTTCTTTCTTTTTCTTTTTCTTTCTTTATTTTCTTTCTTTATTTGTACGTTTTTCTTTTTCTTCTCTCTCTTTCTTCTTTTCTTTTTTCTACCTTTTATTTCTTTCTTCCTTCCTTTTCTTTCTTTCTTTTTTCTTCTTTTCTTTCTTTGTTTCTTTTCTTTTCTATATTTCTTTCTGTCTTCATTTACTTTCTTCTTTCCTTTTTTTGCCTCTACTTACTTTCTTTTTCTTCTTTTTCATTCTTTCTTTCTTTCTTTTCTTTCTTTCTTTCTTTGTTTTTTTTTTCTTTCTTTTACGTTTCATTTTCTTTTTCTTTTTTCCATATATTATCACTGATTGATTCATTCATTCAATCAGTCAGTCTTTTCCATCCTTGTTTCCTTAGAATATTTACATATATTTTCCTTTCTTTCTTAGGAAAATATAATTAATCTTTTTTTCTTTCTTTTTACCTTGTTCTTTTTTACTACCTTTTTTTACTTGTCTTTTTCATTCATTATACAGTCCCTTTCTGCTTCTTAATTTCTTCTATCTAGGTTTCTATTTTTCTTTTTGCTCTTCTTTCTTTAAAATTGCCGCCCCTTTTCTTTCTTTCTTTCTTTCTTTCTTTCTTTCTTTCTTTCTTTTTATAAATTATCTCAAGTTATCCTTTCTCTGTATTTTCATCCCCCAAATTTTTTTTCCTCTCTGTTTTTCATAAATTCTATTTTCTTCTTCTTTTCTGTCTGTCTTTCTTTCTTTTTCTTTCTTTCTTTCTTTTCCTTACTCATTATTTCTTTCTTTTTCTAGCCACTCTTTCTTTCTTTCCCTACTCATTTTTTCTTTCTTTTCCTACAAATTCTTTCTTTCTTTCTTTCTTTCTTTCTTTCTTTCTTTCTTTCTTATCTATTGTTCTATTTTTTCCCTTTACGTCTTTCCTTTTTCATGCTATTTTTCATTTATCCCTTTCTTCCTTTTGTTCTTTCATTCTTTCTTTTCCTACATTTATTTAGATAAGAGAAATCAAAGAGATGGCTATAACAACGCCAACACCGTAATTATTCTAATATTCCCCGAACGGCGAGTTTCTTCCATCAATTCGCATGTAATGGCAACGATAAGCAGGCGCGGCCTTAAATCAAGAGCAGATAACTCGTGTGTGAATAATTGCGATACGGTGCCCGAGGAATAAATACGAGTTTTGGTAGAATGATATGTGTGTCTTGGCTTTACAATGGAAGATATTCCCATAAAATGAATTCGGGATTCTTTTGGCATCATTTTCTTGACAAGAATATATAAGTGACAATAAACACCACACTAACAATTTTAATGAAAATAATATTTATAATTTCCTGAAAAGAATCAGTTAAGTGCCATGCGTGATACACGCTTAGACGATCATGTATCTTTCGATCTCTGACTGACAAGGCAGATTTTTTTCCCGCAGTAGGTTGCTATTTCTTTCTGCAGTAGACCATTTGACGTGCAAAGCTATAGAACCCGATCTATCCTGCTATTTATCCACAGCTGCTGGGAGAAGAGGAGGATTCATACCTTTACCAAGGGTATTAGAACGTAAGTGAATGTAATGGATTTGACTGGAATTCGAACTCGGCTCCATTACTCCACTGTTGGCCTTTATTACTGTGGACGGAAACAGTAAGAGAGAGAGAGAGAGAGAGAGAAGGAGAGAGAGTGAGAAGATTTAGAAGAAGAAGGGGAAATGCAAAAGATGACAGGAGAGAAGGAGAGAGATAAAAGTGAGTGATAAGGATAGAGAGAATAATAGAGAAAAAGAGAGAGAGACACAGAGAAGAGGAAAGAGAGAGAAATAAAGAGAGAGGGAAATGGGAGATAGATACAAGGAGAAAGAAGGAGAGAGAGAAAAGAAGAGAGAAAAGAGAGAGAAAGAAGGAGAAGAATTGAGAAGGATAAAGAGAATGGGAGAAAGAAGGAATGTGAAAGACAGAGAGAATGAGAGAGAAGGAGAAAGACAGAAAAGAGATAAAGAGAGGGGGAGGAGAGAGATAGAAAACGAGAAGAGAGAGGAGAAAGAGAAGAGAAAGAAAAGAAGATTAAAGAAGTGAGCGAAGGTGGTAGAGAGAGAAGGAGAGAGAAGAGGTTGAATGGAAGAGTGAGAATGAGGGAAATAATAAGTGACAGAGAATGGAGAGAAAGGAGAGAGAGAAGGAGTGACAAGAAGTGAGAGAATGGTTGAGAGGAGGAGTGAAAAAGAGAAGGAGAAGAAAAGCTAAGGAGAGAGACAGAGAAGAAGAGAAAGGAGAGAGAGATGAAAGACAAAGAGAAAGGGCGTGAGATAAAAAATAAAAGCAGAGAGAGGAGGGAGAAGAAAAGAGAATAGAGAGATGGGAGTGAGAAAGAAAGGGAGAATGAGGGACAGAAGGGGAGCGGGAGAAGGAGAGCGAGAGAAGGAAAGCGAAAGAGATAGAAGGAGGTATAGGAGAAAGAAAGAGTGTGTCGAGCTCACTGAAGGTGGGAGGATATAAAAACAGATTCTATATGGATGTCTAAAATATTAATGCATTAAAACTGTCGTTCCTTATGGCGTAGACTTTAAGCTAGCATTTTTTTATTTGACGTTAATTATCCTACAATAAAACTCCCAAGAGCCAAGCTATCTCAGAATTTACTAAAGATTGTTGTTTTATTTGGATATAAAAAGAATTGGGTAAGAAGAGAAGGTTATGAACATATGAAGAATAGATAATGGTTGATCGTAGACGTGAAAATGCTAAAATGACAGTGATCGAGAAAGAATCTACATTAAGAGAATTAAGATGGTGTGTCCCTGTATATATGATACGGCAAGTCTTAGCCCTAAAGGCACTAGGACTACGGAATATTGTACCATTTTCATCTGTATGAAAGAGGTTCTAGGGTGGAAAATAACTAATCACCCACAAGGCCGCGTAACGGGTTTGAACTCTGTCAAGGCGATAAAGAAATAATTGAATAGTTCCAGCCCAATCATGCATGCAATACTCCATTTTTAAGCTGATCAGATCATGGTAGATAGAGCTTTGATTGATTCGTTTTCTACGGCTTATCAACACTTTGCAGGTTATTTAAAGCCAGAAAATTTATTAGATTTTAGGGATTTTTTGATTTTTATTGATAATAATCATTTAGTGATACAAGTCTTAAAAATTAAACCATAGCCGAGGGGAAGAAGGGTATTTGATTATGACGAATGCAGGGTTAATTGGAACACAGATCTAAAATTAGGAAATTTGAGCCATTATTCATCACCCCACCTGCACATCCAAGCTTACAGAAGTGGTGTTTCACATCGGTCACCATTTAATGACCAGGCTCGAAGTTGCTTAACTTCGGTGATCGCATTGGGATCGTTGTTTCAACGTGATGTGGCCGTAAGCTCAGTACTTTCAGAAGCTACTTAACTATATAGAATTGCACAATACTCACAAGAATTTAGTGTTACAATCGAAGTCAGCGGCGGTGTGAATGTCAAATTTTATACCAGGAAACGAGAAGAGTGTTCAAATCGCAATTACAATCTAGGTATCTCAGATACCTGTTAGCTATTTTCATGGTATGCCAGAATAAACATTATATTCAAATTTCAAACAAAATGGCTACTTTTGTAGTGATGTTATGGCATGTTTATGTTAAAATTTTGGAATAAATATTTTCTCTGCTCTGCATTGAGCACTCTTTTAAGAATAGCGTTTTCGGTTATTGGAATTTCATTCCGTCTACACCAATCCTTTACTTGCGCATATATATATATATATATATATATATATATAATTGGTGTATACAGAATGAATTCCAATAACCAACAATTACTGTTCTTAAAAGAGTGCTCAATACAAAGTAGACCAGATATAATTATTAAAAAAAAAAACGAACATCAAGGTGGAATGACTGGATTCCACCTTGATGTTCGTTTTTTTTTTTTTTTTCCTCTCCATTTTTGTTGAATAAATATTTATATTTCCACCCACCCACTTAGGTTTGTGTTTGTGGTTCTTTGGTCACGTGGTATGCTTTTAGCTATCGCCTATAAATATGCGTTTCTCTTTGCTTCGTTAGCCTTACTTTCCCTGACGATCCGTTTAGGTGAAACCTAGGTAGGTTTGTCTGGCTCACTAGGTGTATCTATATCTATATCTATATCTATATATATATATATATATATATATATATATATATATATATATATATATATATATCAAAGTATATAATTGGTATATACGGAATGAATTCCAATAACCAACAATTACTATTCTTAAAAGAGTGCTCAATACAAAGTAGAGCAGATATAATTATTTTTATAAAAAATTATAACATAAGTATGTTATAACATAAGTATGTTTTTTTTTCTTTTTCAACATCATCACTTGATAAGACACAGAGTGTGTTGAAACAAAATGGCTATTTTTGTAGTGATTTTATAACATACTTATGTTATAATTTTTTAAAAAAATAATATATATATATATATATATATATATATATATATATATATATATATATATATTGCACCTTGAAACGCATCAGGTGGTTCCGTTTTGTTGTAGACTGCATTCAACTTTCTTTTAATCATTTCACCCTAAGCAAGGCAATAAATCACCTAAGACGAAACGGGTTACTCGACATTAGAAAATATAAGAAGAAAGAACAATAAAAGTACAAGAATTAAGAAAACAGAAGATCAAAGTAAATTGGGTAGTAACGAGTGAGTTCCAGGCTGACAGTTTCTGGTCCGGAACTGTTGCATTGTGGGATTGATACTTAAGGATATGTTTCTTTTATTACTACAATCTTAACATCTTCAATTTCAAAGTCTATCTTATGTATCCTCATGATATACGTCTCTGGTCTCTCCTTGCATGCCTTTACAATAATTTATTTTAGTAATTCAATACCTTCAGGGACTCTTGTGTCTTGTATTAGTAAAAAAAAAAGAGTTAAAAAAAAAAAAATTAAGAAAATTTGAGATACAAAAGATTGAGTAGATGTAAATATTTTGTATAAGTATTGCAGAATATGGCGGGTTTCATTGGAAATCATCGCAGCTAGAAAACATCGTCACAAAAGAGGGTACTGATCAGTCATCCCTAAAATTTCAGCTTGCAATCCTGACCTTGTGATCGAGAAAGAAGAAACTCTTAGCATAGAATTTACGGCTACATCTAGACCAATTCACCTGTAAAACAATAAAACATTGCAGTCAGTCTATTACAATGAATGAAGTAATGTTTTACTTACCAGATGAACACTTTGAAAAGTTTCATGGTGGCTTCGTTGATACAGTTGCAAACATCGAGCAAAGGTTTACCACGAGCGGCCATACGACCGAGAGTGACGCCCATCAAGACGGAAAACACCACAATACCAAGGACGTTGGTTTGTCCTGTGGAGCCGTCAGTTGGGATGTAGACGGGTTTGACTAAATTAAAAAAAAAAAAGAAAGATAAAAAAACGATTAGAAGAATCTTTAAATGCAAATCGTAAACAAATATAGAATGTAAATATGAATATCGGATACTCAGCAAATGATAACGACAATATAAGTCGTTTCCTTATAAGAAAACATTTGGTATTCATTGACCAAGCAGCAAGTGCTGTTCGAGTTATGTTTTGTTTTTCACTTCCTGGCGCTCGGACTGTGATCAAAGTGTAGTATAAGAGAGAATAACAAAATAATAATAATAATAATAATAATAATAATAATAATAATAATAATGAGAATGAAAAGAAAAATAATCAGAAGAAGAATAAAACGGAACAGTGTGTACAGATCATTCATCCCTAAAACTCCAGCTTACAATCCTCACCTGGTGATTCGAATTACATCAATACCTCCCCCATTGCCTTTTCATCTCGTAATTTATTCAACATTATGCTTTATATTTATTGAAACGATTTAATGATTTAATCCCTTGAAAGGTAATAAAGCCACTAAGGTTAGTCTGCGAGAATTACACATTGATCCAGGGAGTGAAGAAATGCATAACTCGAGTGGTACTGGCTACTTGGTGAATGAATGCAGAATGTTTCCTTATAAGGAAACGGTTAACATTACCATTATCATTAAGCATAAGATGAACAGATATTACACTTTGATTCGGGTCCCAGAGCCAGGGAGTGAAAAAAAGCATAATAAGAGTAGCACTGGCTACTTGGTCAATAAAGGCATAATGTTTCCTTATAAGGAAACTGTTAAGATTACCATTGGCATTGCGCATGATACGAATAGATCTTACACCTTAATAACTCAGGACAAATGAAACAAAGAGTTTCAACAGAAAAGTATAATTATATTTTAAAACACATTTGAACACAAGTTATTGTTTTCTTTTTAAATATAATCCTGCTCAGCATTCAAGACGTCTCCGATTCACCCTCAGAAGCCATGACACGACGAATCATAATGTTCTTGTTTGCTATTCTATTCACAATGATAATAGTAATCTTAGACGTTTCCTTATAAGGAAAAATTCTGCCTTCATTGACCGAGAAGTCAGCGCTACTGGAGTTATGCATTGCTTCACTCCCTGGCTATGGGACTCGGATAAATGTGTAATATCTGTTCGTCTTATGCGTAATGATAATGTTAACCTTAGTCGTTTTCTGATAAGGAAACAGTTGTGGAGGAAAAATAACATCACCGCTGACTATATGGACTAGTCCATATCTATAAATAAATTTCTCCAGGCCAGAGTTGAAGTAGCCGTTTGGAGTTAGTTTTCAGACGAAGTAATACAGGTCTCACGGCAAGTTAGTAAAACATCAATTATATTATAAGCGCTACAAAACACGTTATAACAGAAACATTTTGCATTCATTGACCAAGTAGTCAGTGGTACTTTTATTATGCTTTTCTTCACTCCCTGGCCCTGGGACTTGGATCAAAGTGTAATATCTGTTCGTCTTATGCTTAATGACAATGGTAATCTTAGCTATTTCCTTATAAGGATACATTCTGCATTTATTGACCGACCATAGGTCTATGAATGACCAATGTTTCCAGATAATGATACAAAACAAATGTGGCGGGAAACAAAGCGTTGTTCGCACTTCGCCATGTTTCTTTTCTTTTTCAGGAGTCTGCTTTTTCTCTGATAGAGAATTTCTGTTCAGATATTTAGAAAAATCAACCAACTTCAAATAAATAAACAAACAAAGGCTGAAAGACAATAAAAATACAAATGGTGGCCATTTAAAGAAATGTCTTCTGGCGATCGCAAACTCGTAATGGGTGCCATTAATGGACATCGGTGCCAACAATTCTTGCTGGTCATTTCTTGTTTGTGGTATTGTTTAGTCGCTTTTCGTCTTTAAATATACATTGATTTTCTACTCGAGTGCGCATGTGTGTAGAAGAGATAAGAACCCCGTAAAAATATTTACCTCTGTATGTAAAAAAAAAAAAAATAACTTTTGTCCTTTGCTATTGTGCAAACTAGAATCGATTTTCGCAAGACGCCGCATACATTTGACTGATAATTTTTTCACCTGCTTTACATATTTTAGTGCAAAATGATAACTTCTCACTGGAAATATTTGTCCTGCGTATAACTACATTCGCGTCGTGGGTAAGACAATAAAGTATATCCAACAGTAAGGCCTCGGATTAAGAGGTTTTCAGGAGCTTGGAACCATTTCTTAATTTCTGGCTTTCCCAGATCCACCCTAACTCGGGTGGTAGCACATGTTAGGGTCCTAGTTATTGGCAAATAGTTAACACCCAAACTGGGGTCAAAACGTGTAAAAATAGGTTTGATTACCAACAATACATTTTGTAAAATATTATTACCGGCAATGAATTTTAAAAAAGTTACTCTTTTGGAAAAAATATTACTAGCAATACATTTTTCATAAAAATATTACCAGCAATACATTTTTGAAAAAAAAAAAAATTATCAGCAATTCACTTTCGAAAAAAGAAATATTACCAGCAATAAATTTTTGGAAAGAAATATTACCAGAAATATATATATTTTTTTAATATTACCAGCAATAAAAATCTTGTCGGGATTAAATAAGCCATTGCCATAAAACAAACCAAACCAAATCTGTAATATGCAATCATTGGCACTCTGAGTTCAAATTCCAATCAAGGTCTTTGTGTTTGCATTCGTACAAGTGTTCTTGTAAAGGCATGAGGCTACCTATTACTCCTGATGGAGATTAATAGCAGCGTTGACTAGGAATGCCAAACAGTCTTAGAAAAACACAACTTTATATTCAAAGCAGATTGAGAAAGACAACATAAAGAATCTGCAATGTTATTTGTACTGACCAGGCATCTCGGCGTCAGTCACTTTCCCACCTTTGTAATCGAGATTTCATTAGACTTTTCTATAAATACTTTCATGGTAATTGTTCGGATGAACTTTCCTCTGGGGCCCCTAAACTTTAGACGTAGTACTAAATTGCCGGCAAGGTCTCATCAGTTCGCATCTGAATTGGCTAGATGTAACCGTAAGTTCTATGCTAATAGATTCTTCTCTTCTCGGAGGTGAGTAAGTAACTGAACCCGAGATGCCAGATCAGGACCAATAATACTGTGGATTTTTCTTTGGCTCTTTTCCCAGCATTTCTAAATATACAGCAGGAGCACAGAATCATGTATGGTAACAATATTTAATGCAAGGACGAATGGTATATTATAAATATTGAGGAGAGAAAAATGATATTGCCTAACTTTCTTAGCTGCAGACATAGTAATTGATTCTATATAATCTTTCCACTTCATGTCAACTGAAAACGTTAGTCCTTGAAGCAGTAAAAATTCACTCTACTGGAGGATAGCATCAGCCATACTATAGAGACTAGAAAGGAAGTTAGCGGGAAAGCATGGAAGATAGTTCCACATCGGAGAAGTTCGAGAAAAGAACCTGTTAGCATAGAACATACGGTTAGATCTAGCCAATTCACATGTAAATTGATGAAACCTTGTAGCCAATTCATTTATGGGACTAAATTAAGAAAAGGTTAGGTACCATAGCGGACAGTTCATCAGAACAATTACCATAAAAAAGTATTTAAAGGAATGCACAACAAAAGACTGAAGCCGAGATGACAGATCAGGACCAATAATATTGCTGACTCTTTTTGGGATTTTATCAAGGAGCTCTAGATAAATAGCAGGAACACTGGACCATACATGGCAGCAATATTCGAAGCATGGACGAATGGTATACATATAGATATGTAAGATAGATTCTGGAGAGAAGAAATGGTCTAGCACGACAATGAAACAACTTTCTTAGCATACGCAATGATATTTGCACAGTTCAATGATTCTTTCCTGTTATCCTTATAACGCTTTTTTTTTATTTGTGGGCTGGTCGCTTTCTGTATGCTAACATGATGACTGTTTAATCGATAGACGAGTATGACCATTGCTGACAAATATTCTATCAATCCGAATTTGGGAATACAAATAAAATAGTAGATAGCGATTGACATTGCTTTTATTTTTTTGAAGATTAAAGTTAAAATCTGGAAAGCATGGAGCTGAAAGGGAGTTCCCTAAGCAAGAAGTGCGAGAAAAGAAACAGCATAGAACTATATCTAGCCTGTTCAAGTGTAAATTGATGAGATCTCGTCAACAATTGCGTACTATAGCAAAAAGCTGATTTGAACAATTACCATGGAAGTGTTTATAGAAAAGGCAAAGGGAGGCAAAGGGACTGAAACCGAGACGCCAGATCAGGGTCAATAATATTGCTGACTCTTTCCTGTAATCCTTATAAGGCTTTTTTTGATTTGTGGGTTGTTCGTTTTTCTGTATGCTAACATGATGACTGTTTAATCGATAGACGAGTATGACCATTACTGACAAATATTCTATCAATCTGAATTTGGGAATACAAAGTTGTCTTAACCCTAGACTAGTCGCAAGCCTAGCCTGAGCAAATCCAGCTTGTCCTATTCTTTAAGTCCAGGAAGAGACCCATAACTATAGTTGCATACTTTTAACAGGGGTAATTGCGTGAAAGTGCATGTAACGACTGGTTGGAATTCGAACTCGGGTCGTCGATTTTTTGTTCTAAGACGCCAAAACATACACCGCCCGCACATCCATCCGCCCATTCATTCATACATACATATAAGGTTTATTATGAATACATATTTTGGAAGGAGATAGGTTTATTTACTGTAAATTTGAAAATTTTTCAGAGTTAACCTGTAGAAAAGACAATATTTATAAATATAAATGACAATAGGAAAACTTCCAAAACCATTATGGATGTACTCAAATCTTCAAAACACTGATAGCAATAATATTTCTGAAGCAGGCATTTATAAAATAAATTGCCAAATCTGTTCCTCCTAATATATTGGAGAAACAAGTAGAAGTTTAAAAAAGAACGTATTTATGAGCACAAATGAGACCTCACAAAAAACAATTTAGCTAATGCACTAGTCATACATAGA